AGAGAGAGAGAGAGAGAGAGAGAGAGAGAGAGAGAGAGAGAGAGAGAGAGAGAGAGAGAGAGAGAGAGCAAATAAACAGTTTGAACCTTGAACCACCAGTACCAGTGAGCCCTTCCCTCCTAAGTTTTCTTGTGCATACACAGAGGCCACCATTATATCGATCTTCAGGTGAAAGTCACCCTTTCAGTACTGGTGGTTGGTGGTTTAAACCCCCAGTCAGTGTGCCCCGTCTGCAGACCTCTGACATGTTCTTCATCATGAATGAATACCCGCCATCAGACTAGCACCGTGCAACCAGGCCCGTACATAAAAAAACTGGTCTGCGTGTTGGACTGCTGCTTTTAAACACCCTCCATTTTGTTTTGTGGGTTTAGGATTGCAGCAATCGGTGCGTTGACTACTGCCCTTGTATTAGCAGGGCCCTGCTGCAAGTCAGCGGGGCCCTGAGATGAAACAGCCTCTATTTTGTTGTGTGGATCAGCAATCGTGATACAAGAGGCCTCGCTCCAGTGGCTCCACTGCTCTCCAGATGCACAAAAAAGTTGAAAACTACAAGAAATATGGCGGCGTATCTTCCCATGTTCTAGGCTTCTAGCGGAAGACTCATTCTTGTTTTGCACGTCTTGCGAATAGTGGAGCCGCTGGAGCGACACCCAAGGTCGGAAGTCAACGTAGCAATCGCTCATCAGCTAACAGTGCTGAACCAATCCTACAAACATAGTCGATTACTGCTAGATCAAGGCTTTAGGTTCCGGTCGTTGGATGTCATTATGAAGACGTAGACCAGGGCCTGCTGGTACTATGCTCCAGAGTCCAAACTGACCACATTCATGCTGACTTACCACGAACTCAGCTCCAGTAGGGGCTGGACCATCACTGCAATGTTGAGCAGAGCACGATCCGCATTGCTTACTCATCCAGCCATGTTATGCCAGGATCTGATTTGCCTCCCTCTCCATGCTGCTACCCTGTTCTTTTACGCAGCTGATGCCGCTGACTGAAACAAGATCAGTACTTCCAAAGCCTCGGATCCCTCCGCATGACAGCATATGGATTCGAACCGGCACCCTTGGCCTCAAGAGCCAAGCAATATAACCACTACAGCCATGACATGCTGTGGCTGACATGGTGTTCAAAGGCGGAACCGCACGGGCCGCGATATCCACCCCACCCCTGCATGGCCGCAGTGTCCATACTCACTCCCACACGGCAGTCTCTCACGCACATGCCCTTGATCCAGCACATGGCCCTCAACCACAAGGGGTCCTTTCCCCCAACGCTCCCGGTATGATTTCCAGGCAGGTTACCAAGCTAGGTACAGATCAGCACTTCCACGGCGTTGGATCCCTCCGCATGAAAGCACGCGGACTCGAACCGGCACCCTTGACCTCAAGAGCCAAGCATCGTAACCACACCCTTGGGCCTCACTAGCCAAGCATCATAACTACACCCTTGGGCCTCAAGAGCCAAGCATCATACCCACGACAGCCATGACGCGTTGTTGAAAAGTGGAACAGGTACCACTTTGAAACTGGGAAAGAACTAGATCGGTCCTAGATGGACTGATGGGCCCAGAGCACACAGTGACGAGATAACAATGCTGCTGGCAAGCAGGTTGAATCACGCTAGGTGAGAGGTACTCCTTTCTGTCCCCTCTATGGGAGCAGACCCCACCTCATGGCTACAGAGTCACCAGCCTCCCCCATCTCATGGCTGCAAAGTCACCAGCCTCCGCCCATCTCACAGACATGCACTCGCCAGCCCCGAACTAACAAAACGACATACAGATGATCGGCAGCCAACGTATGCAAGCACCAGCGAACTGATCCATAATGCTACGCCACCCTCAGCAGCCGCTTTCTCTACGCATTTTTCTGGCTCGAAGGAGGAGCCACAGCAAGCCTTCAATTACCTTTTATCCCCTTTCTGACTCCACAATCCTCGGCCTTTGAACCTCTTCCCTCCACCGAAAAGGCCATGGCTATGTGGATGTTTTGAGTCTCGTCATCTAATTGACTACGCCCTTAACCCCCAAATACCAATGCTTACCCTCTCCCGGTTCCTGCACAGCTCCTTCCTCTTCGACGTGTGCACCCCGATTAAGAGACACCATCGTCCTCGGCGTGTGCGCCCCGATTAAGCGGCACCATTGTCCTCGACGTGTGCCCCGATTAAGCGACACCATCGTCCTTGATGTGTGCGCCCCGATTAAGCATACTACTACCTGCAAACAGTTCCTCGATGACGTGGCGCCACCGTTTCATGACCTCCAGATCTGCGACAAGCGACACCATCGTCCCGTACATGTTTTGCGTGATGAATCCCGCATCAAGCATCTGCTTGCAGACGCCCCCAGTTTTGTCGTGCGCCCCTTCCCTAATGTAAGCCCCAAGCATTACCATCAGTGTATCTTCGTCAACATAGCCTAGCATCTCCATCTCCTTGACCAATTCCTCTGCCAGGTCCATGTGGCCACCCCACACCATGATCCTGATGAGCTCGGCATACGTCCGACCGTCGGGAACATACCACTCTTGTTGCTTTGCCCACTCGAATACGTGACTTGCCAAGTTCGCATCTGTTTGCTCGCTCAGGATCCGCATCACGCCATCCATTCGGCTGTGGAGATACGACGATGCATATGTACCTACAGAATGCTGTTTCGACATCAGTGCCGAGCTGAGTACAGCCACCCCTGCCGTCACGGTGTCACCTGTCAACAACACATCCCCCATCTCCGACTCTTCGCTCCTCTCACTCCTCCTCCTTGCCAGCTTCAGTCTCTTCTTCGACCAAGACTGGGCCCCGAGCACGTGATTGCTCCCAAGCCCTCGCCTTCGCCACAGCTTTGTGCTCGCATTGACCGGATTCTTCTGTACCTTGCGCGGTTTATGCACACCATCTTCTGCACCACCGACTGCAGTGCGAGGTGCCATTAGTCCTGCCAATCCTACGCCATACTGCAGACCTCCGATTGTCCGGCGCCACGGCGGTTTCGGTTGCCCATTCGGCCCTCGGGGCGATGACGTAGAAACCGGGGGGCAGACGATCGGCGGGTTGGGAACGACAGTCAGATCAGTGGTAAAGGCGTCAGGGGGATAAACTCTGTCCCAAGTTCCCCCATGTTCGCTGAGGGCGAAGTCGATCACAGTCTCCATCGAAGTCGAAGGCACACACTGCTGCTCAGTCAGCCGCCCCGAGCTCTCGTCAACGCTCCATCTGCTGTCATCCTTGGAGATGCTGCTGGCATCATTCGTGCGCGCATCCACTTCCCACGCAACATCTGCATCCGCATCCACATCTTCTCTGCTCAACCACTGCACGTCATCGACCCCCAGGTGAGGCACGCCTAGAGATTCACCGTCAGAGGCAAAACACTCCTGTGCATTCCCAGCCTGCCATTCCCGTAAGTCGCTCAGCTGCCGGTCCAGCAATTCTGCAGTAGTAGTGGTACCATCCCACCGGCACGGTTCTGACTGCATGTCCAGATCCAAGTCCAGGTCGAGCTCCAGCTCTGTGGCTGCATAGGCACCATGGGTACCGGGCGGCCTCCTAGAATCGAGCTGTTCCAGCGCCCTCGCAAACCCCTCCCGCGCACGATATATCTCATCATTTGACGGAGTCCTTCTAGGCAATCGCGTTAACCTCCCCGATACAGCTCTCCTGCACCTCTCCAGTACCGGTATGCCTCTCTGCAGCAACCTCTGTATTGAGCTCATTCTAAGAGGAAGACACAAATATTTATTATCATTCGCCCTCCTCAGCTGGTAAACCTCCACATGCTCACGACTTGCTTATGATGCGACCTGCCCCAGTCATACAGAAAGAAGAATGCCGGCAGTACGCTGCATGTCCGACATCTTCAGGCCCTTCGAAAGTCAAAGCTCAACGACCACCACCATCTCTCAAAAAGAAAACAAAAACAAAAAACAGAAAAATTCAAACACTCTAGGAATCAGACGCGTTGAATTCTACTCCCAAGTCTCCAAGCAAAAACAAAAGGAAGATCCGTTGCTAATCATGTAATGGAAAGTTGCTTTGACTATTGTTTGGAGCTCGCTTTATCTACTTGTAGAATGACGAGATAGTTGCTAATAACCATTAGACAAAGCGAGCTCCAAACAATAGTCAAGTAACTTAGCATTAGATGGTCATCTAACCATTAGATAAAGCAAGCTCCACACACACACACACAAAAAAAAAAAAAAAAAAAAAAAAAAAGGCAAGATGGAACGGAAGTGATACTGTAGTTACTAACTATGTAACAATCTAAAAAAAAAAAAAAATACTTTTTCTTTTTTTAATTGGGACCATTTCTCGATTCATGCGTGTCATCCTTGCGCATGGGCCATGCTAATCTTCTTTCTCTGTATCGTCGCAAATTTAATGGATGTCCCAAAGGACAACCATCTAAAGATTCTAAACATCTGATAAAGCGAGCTGCAATAACCCATGAAGTATGCGTCGTAGAATGTCTAAGGGCCTCGCCAGGCCACCACTCAGACCCAGGCCACAGGGGAGAAAAGACCCTAAGTAAATTCAGGGCCTGATCGGGCAACGGTTGACCAAAGTCAACTGCCTGAGGCCCAACAGTCAAAGTCAAAGTGTACCCAGCCCAGGCCGCCGGTCAGACGCACACACTTGTTTGTATGCAGGTACCAAGACAGCATCAGGACCAAGTGCAAGTCTGCAACTGTACACAATCCAGGCCCTCGGCTGTGAGTCAATCTGTACGACTGTGGGAGGGAGACCTGAGGCCAGACAGCCTCGTCAAACACTACATAAGGCTTGGTCTCCAGGAGGTCAACGTTCAGTCTTGCTATGCTGCCTCGACGCTGGCTTGACTCTAGCTGGTCGCTGGCTTGACGGTGGCTCGACGCTGGCTGGACGCTGGCTGTGCGCTGGTACTGTGGACGACGACGCAGGTCTGTGGCCGCATGCTGGCGCTTCCTCTGCTGAACGCCAGCCTCTGCTGACGTGACACGTGCCACCTGTATGCATTGCTGATGTGGCACAGGCCACCTGTCTACATTGCTGATGTGGCACAGGCCACCTGTCTACATTGCTGATGTGGCGCAGGCCATCTGTCTTCATTGCTGATGTGGTGCAGGCCACCTGTCTGCATTACTGCTGTGGCGCATGCCACCTGTCTCTATTGCTGACGTGGCATTGGCCACGCCGTCTACAGGAGGTGTTTGGTCGCAACAAGGAGGGAGATCGGGATCTGTGGATGATTGGGAATTGGTACTCACCTGAGGTTGACGTCGATACTGTGCACTGCTGTCTGTCTTCGTTGTCTCCACGAGATGACAGTGCCACTTGGCACTTCTATGTGATCAGGACTTGTCAGACTTGTTACTGGATATTGATTGATGACGTCGAGGCGAGAAGAAGCCCGGAGAAGGAGTGGGTAATTTTTGGGCTACTCTTTTGTGGTCACTGATTATCTCTTCCACCCTCTCATCTGTCTATTCCCCCTCCACTCTCTTTGTCTATTGGTAGCGAGACATTGTATCAGATATCACTTTCACGATTACTGGAGACATTGTGCAGATCTAAGTCTACTTGTACTTCGACGTCTGACGAGGAGAAGAAGAAGAAGAAGAAGAAGAAGAAGAAGAAGAAGAAGAAGAAGAAGGAGGAGGAGGAGGAGGAGGCGGAGGAGGAGAAGAAGAAAGAGAAGAAGAAGACGAAGGAGAAGGAGAAGGAGAAGAAGAAGAAGAAGAAGAAGAAGAAGAAGAAGAAGAAGAAGGAAAGGAGAAGGAGAAGAAGAAGGAGAAGAAGAAGGAGAGGAAGGAGAAGAAGAAGAAGAAGAAGAAGAAGAAGAAGAAGAAGACGAAGACGACGGAGAAGGAGAAGGAAGAAGAAGAAGAAGAAGAAGAAGAAGAAGAAGAAGAAGAAGAAGAAGAAAAAAGAAGAAGA